AGGTCTGGTGAGTCTGCAGGTCTCAGTCTAGTCCTCAGGTCTGGTGAGTCTGCAGGTCTCAGTCTAGTCTTCAGGTCTGGGTCTAGTCCTCAGGTCTGGTGAGTCTGCAGGTCTCAGACTAGTCTTCAGGTCTGGTGAGTCTGCAGGTCTCAGACTAGTCTTCAGGTCTGGGTCTAGTCTTCAGGTCTCAGACTAGTCCTCAGGTCTCAGTCTAGTCCTCAGGTCTGGTGAGTCTGCAGGTCTCAGACTAGTCCTCAGGTCTGGTGAGTCTGCAGGTCTCAGTCTAGTCCTCAGGTCTGGTGAGTCTGCAGGTCTCAGTCTAGTCTTCAGGTCTGGGTCTAGTCCTCAGGTCACAGACTAGTCCTCAGGTCTGGTGAGTCTGCAGGTCTCAGTCTAGTCCTCAGGTCTGGTGAGTCTGCAGGTCTCAGTCTAGTCTTCAGGTCTGGGTCTAGTCCTCAGGTCTCAGTCTAGTCCTCAGGTCTGGTGAGTCTGCAGGTCTCAGACTAGTCTTCAGGTCTCAGTCTACTCCTCAGGTCTCAGACTAGTCCTCAGGTCCGGGTGTAGTCTTGAGGTCTGGGTCTAGTCCTCAGGTCTGGTGAGTCTTCCTCAGGTCTGGTGAGTCTTCAGGTCCGGGTCTAGTCCTCAGGTCTGGGTCTAGTCCTCAGGTCTGGGTCTAGTCCTCAGGTCTGGGTCTAGTCCTCAGGTCTGGGTCTAGTCCTCAGGTCTGGGTCTAGTCCTCAGGTCTGGGTCTAGTCCTCAGGTCTGGGTCTAGTCCTCAGGTCTGGTGAGTCTGCAGGTGTTTTTCTTGGTTCAGAAACAGGAAGTGTTTTTGCATAGACGTGAGAACAAGTCAGACTCATGCAGATGAATAAATACAGAGAAGGAAGACAGGTGAAACAACGACAGGTGACTTTATAAAAACAAGTGTTGAATCATCATCATCATCATCATCATCATCATCATCATCATCAAAACGATTCAAAACAAACAAACTTTATTCAACAAACAAAACATCAAGTTGAGCGTCTGTGTGGAGCTACTGATCCGGCTCTTTCATATTGCTTGTAGTGCAGAGAGACCCGAGGTGTGTGTGTGTGTGTGTGTGTGTGTGTGTGTGTGTGTGTGTGTGTGTGTGTGTGTGTGTGT